CTGAGATGTAGGCGTTGTCGTCCTCGTCGTCCGGGCGGTCGGAGAAGGAGTCGTGCAGGTCGTCCTCGCTCGACCTCCCGGTGAACTTGTGCGGGTCGAGGATGTCCATGACGGAGAAAGGGGTCACGCGGGGGGCGGTGTTGCCCTCGTCGTCTCTCCTCTCCTCCTGCCTCTCGCCCTCGTTCGCCGCCTCTCCCTCCTCGCCGTCCTCGCCCTCTCCCTTCTCCTCTCCCTCGCCCGACTCTCTCCTTCTCCTCACTTCGTCCGGGTTCTCCATCTTCACGTCGACGACGTCCCCGGACTCTCTCCTCGCGGACTCCTCCTTGGCGTCCGCCTCTCTCGTGACCTCCAGGGCGTCCTGCGGGTCGCGGGGGGCGGCCTCCCTGCATCCCGGGGGGTTGGGCGCGGCGGAGGGCGCGGAGGCCGAGGGGGGCGGGGCGCCCAGGGGGCTGTGGTGGAGGTGGTGTGGGTGAAGGTGCGGCGGGTGCGCCCCGTGGCCGAACAGCAGGTTGCTCTTCAGCTTCTCGTTCTGCACCGCGAGATGCTGCGCCAGGTTGTTGGTGAGCAGCTGGTGCAGGTCGGCCTTGCCCGGAAGGTCAAAGGTCGCGAGGCATTTCAGCGTGGAGGGGATTTTGAGGACGGGGCGCGCGTGGCCCGGGAGGCCGACCGCGTCCTGGCCGCCCGTGGGGCAGTCTCCCTCGCCGGCCGGGAGGCTCACGCCCGAGAAGTGCTCGAGCGCCAGCGCCGCGTCGGGCAGCTCGCTCTGGCCGCCCTCGAAGGTGTCCATCGCCTCCTCGTAGTCGAAGCGCGGCAGTTTGCGGCGGCGGAAGTCATCGCAGGGATTCGGACGCTTGACGGAGCCTTCGTCCGTCCGGTTTTTCATCGTTCTGCCGCCTTCTTCGGACCCCGGGCTTTGTGGTCACTTTGGCTTATTTATTTTCCTCTCTCCTCAGGCTAATGTCATTCTTTCTAGTGTATAAAGGTCGGATCAACAGCAATTCGCCGATAATACCTCGTTCACTCGGCCCGACTTTCGACACACAGAGTACCGACTTCTCTCCGATAAGTCAATGTAACGTCTGTGTGTTGCTTCTCCGGGCATCTTGACATCTCCCTTGAAGTGCATCTTCGCCGCCGCATCCTGTAAGACTCGAGCTCATTGGCTCCATCTCGCCACTCAATTTAGCGCCCCTCGCCCCCATTGGCCGACGCCGGTGCAGCGCGCTGTAAACAAACCACAAGGGGCGGAGCGGATTGAGAACCGCGCGGCGATTGGCCGAGGGGGGCGAGGGGGCGGAGCCAAAAGTCGGTTAGGGAGGGGCTCGGCGACATCATTAGGCGTGATAAACGCTGACAGAACCGTTCCCCGGGGACCCAGCACAGCCAGCGACACAAATTGACCGCGCCTAGATAAAACTTGACGCTAACAGGGGAATTGGTCCAATATGGGACCATAGTTAACAGTGGCAATTACGTGCGGGAATGGGTGCTCTGGGAGGGAGGGAAGAGGAGGAGGAGGAGGGGAAAGGGGGAGGGACGGAGAGCTGGGGGGGGGGGGGGACGGAAAGGGTTTTGGTGTCGGAGGAAAACGTGTTTTTCTTTCAGGTTCATTTTGTTTTAGGGGTCACGCGGGGAAATGAAAGATTAATTAGGTGAAGGTTCTTTCTTACTCGGGGCGGAGGGCGAGAAGGAAAGGGGGTGGGGGAGGGGGGGGGGGCGCTGCTGCTGGTCGGTGCTCAAGCAGGACCTTTTGGCTGAGGAATTTGTCTTTCGGTTGGACTTGAGGAAGGGCGCGGGGGAGATTTTCCTCGTGTCTTTTGGAGGTTCATCGGAAAGCCACTTCGACTCCGTGCGGCCGAGAAGGGTGATTAGCTTCCAGGCTTCGGCGTTTGATGATCTGTTACCGAAGAAGGGAAGATGTTCTAAAAAAATGGCTTTTGATGTTACATTAATCTTTGATCGAAACTGCTGGTTATTAATCATTATCACCGTTGATCTTTTCATAGCTTACTCTCTATGCGTTAATAGATTATGTGAGAGAAATCTATGTTGATATAATAATCATGTATACGTTTGTCTTTTCGTTCTGTGAATTGCAACTTTATGCAATGTACAATCTCGAGTTTTGTTTCTGTGTAGTACATGACACCGGCAAAATATCGGTATTTAAGATTCTGTCACTGCGTCGATTCATATGATTATTTTAACAGCTTCGTTCTTCTCTCTATTATTTCTTTCTTTTGTTATTTTCTTTTTCACTCTTTTTTTTACTCTTTCGCTTATTCTTGATGGCTTGTTCCGTCAAACTTAACACTTATTCTTCAATATGCATTTATTTCGTCTTTCGCTTTCCTCTCTCTTCTCTCTCTCTCTCTCTCTCTCTCTCTCTCTCTCTCTCTCTCTCTCTCTCTCTCTCTCTCTCTCTCTCTCTCTCTCTCTCTCCTTCTCTCTCTCTCTTTCTTTCCCTAGCTCCTTCTCTCACACGCGCATAAACTTTTGC